AAACGATGATCCGTGATTGTGTTTGATTTTGATGGTTTTGAGATCATCTTGTTTCTCTTACCCATTGAATATCGAACATCAACCTTTGTGGACGATAAGCAAAGAACTGGGTCTTCTGAACAGCATGAAACGACATTTATTGTGAGAAGAATGAAAAGTCTGTAAAGAATGCGCATTGAAAAAGATATGAGACGTTATTGAAAACTTTTTGATTTGCCAATAAGAATAAGTTAGGTGGTACTGTAATATTGTTCGTCTCTATACGCGTTGGCTACTCCACGTGCCTTCTACAATGATGCTGCGGGAAGATGGCTGGTTGGAGTTGGCGGAGGTTGTTCCGATGACGCTTGATAGTGATAGGACCAATGATAACAGCAACAGCAACAACAACAACAAATGCATCCTGTTCCCCGAAGCATSGGCTGAAGAAGAAACGGCCATTCATGTTTTCTGTTCGCAAGATGACAACGAGGAAGACATTCCCATCCCGCTGACTTCAATCATCGTTCAGACCCCTTCTGTGCCGCCCCAGTCCAACAGGGGTGAAGATAAAGAAGATGACGACAACGAAGATTCAGATGTTTGTCATCTCCAAGAACCACAGCCCTCGTGGCTCCTGCGTTTCCATCCAGTGATGTTTTTCTTTTTGCAGCATGCATCTTGTACAACAAACTACAAAAGTTCAAAGAAAACCAATGAAAACRAAAGTAGAAACAAAAGTAAAAATAATACACGGGTGAAGATTTCTCCTCTCCCCATGCTGGAGTTTCAGATGTTTCTTCAAACGGCACAGCAGCAACTGCATCAAAACAAACAAAACTGCTCTTGGAATTTTCACCCCGTAACGATTGAGAAATTGAGAAAAGGGAGTCGCATTAGTGTCTCTTGCGTCTACGTAGAAAACGATGATCCGTGGTTAGATAGTACTAGAGCGAGTGAAGAAGAGAAAAACAAAAGATCTCCTGGCAGCAAGCCTCGTCATATGTCTGGAGAACAAGCCATTGCCATCGCTCTCGGAGGGCGAATCGTAAACTTAGGGTCTGTGTTGTTGCTATCCACAATTTATGGGTACGTTATTGTGACTGTGACCGATATCGGTATGCATAGTGGAGATGTACGAGAAAACTCGGTTTCGGACGGGAATGAAACCACACGTATAGTATATCGACTATCTGATGATGTTCTGGCAGACCATGATTATCACATTCAAGGTCCACCGACGCTTCACGATGAAAACAGTCGGAATCATTTGCAACCAGATGGCGAATCGCTGATTGCTTGGGAGGACGATGTACCAGGGTACGAATCTTTGTTAAAGGATATTATGGACGTTTTTGGGGTTCAGGGAGATCCCGCTGCGGCTTCTGGGGTCGTCTTGACGGGATGCTCCGGCGTTGGAAAGTCTCGGCTGGCATCGTGTCTAGCGTATCATTTTAGCAAAAGTGGTACGTTTCGTCAACACAACCAACAAACCCAGCATCAAACATCCGAGTCGAAAACAGCGAAGTCCTCTTCAAATATGTCTTCCCTCAAGTACCAAAACCATATTTACTATTCGTCGGTTCAAGATTTAACCTTTCAGGCCAGTAYTGAGACAAACCTTTTGGAGAACGTGCTTGTTCCTAAACTCCGTGGCCGCAAGCTTTGGATCGTCGACGATCTTCATTTGCTAGAGTCTGTGGAAGGCAATGGAGACGAAGCTAAAAACGATTCCGAAACCATGATGGTTCAGAATGCTATTGTCGAGGCAATCGATCGCTYTCATGAATCTTGCTGTATATTGGGGCTTGCACATTCAGTTTCGAATTTGCCGTCGGAGCTCACCAAATCCGGGCGTCTCGAAAAGGCACTACAGATTCTTCAGCCTACTCAGCTGCAACGAATTGAAATATGGAAACGGATTCTCGCAGATGAAAACAATGGAGGATTGTTATTGAATAATCCTAGTGAAAAGAACAATGATTGGATAGTTGCGCTAGCGTCTTCCACTGCGGGTTGCGTTCCGAGAGATATAATGCGGATCTACCAAGATGCAATAACCAAACTCCGCGCGAGGCAGCGCGAATGCGAAGATGGACTAGAGACTACTCCGGTGCTGGAGTGGGAAGATCTCAGGGAGGCAATCAAATCAGTCATTCCGTCGCAGTTAGCAGAGTTGGATGTGATCAAACCCACCGTATTTGATGAAATGCTTAGCTGGAAAGAGATTCACCTCCAAAGTTGGCAAGACTTTGCGGGATATCCATCACTTAAGAAGAGTGTTTATCGACAAGTAGTTGTTCCATGGAGATATTTTCTTCAAAGTTTGGATGAATCATTGACCGGTGATATCAAGGAAAACAAAAAATCATGGTTGGAACCACCTCCCGGAGTTTTGTTCCATGGTAAAAGTGGAACCGGGAAAACAGTAGCTGCGAAATGCTTAGCTGCTACTCTTGGACTACCTATTATTCAGGTACGAGCAACCGACCTCTTAGATAAGTGGCTCGGAGGTTCCGAGTCGCTCCTGCGATCTTTGTTCAAGAGAGCACGAGCTGTCTCGCCGTGTGTGTTGTTCTTGGATGAAATCGATGCTATTGCTTGCAATCGTGAAGAGGATGACAACAATGATGTCTCGTCGCGCATCCTGTCAACGCTCCTTAATGAAATGGATGGGGTATCCAGTGCTATACAGAAGAGCCGTGTCTTGGTGATCGCATGCACAAATCGCATCGGAAGCATGGATTCCGCATTGCTTCGTCCAGGGAGACTGCAAGAACACTTCCACATGGAAATTCCCAATGCATCTGATTTAGAAGAAATACTGAAGCTCCGCACGGGGAAAATTCCTTTGGCGCAAGGTCTCAACTTGAAAGATTTGGCTATGGCATTGCTCGAGACTGGAGCAACAGGTGCCGATGTTKKTGGGCTCTGCCGTGAAGCTACATTCATTGCGATGCGTCGTGTTGAGTTTCGTGAGGACATTAGTGTAGCTGTCACACGAGAAGATTTTGAATCCGCGATTTGCGAAAGATTCGGTATTTTATGATTATATACGCCATGTTTGGCATATATATGACTAGTTCATATACTATGAAGTGCTCCGCCTACGCCAAAGGTTACAAATAATCTAGTAAATAATAATCTATTGAAAACAACCCTATCATAAAGCAACTTATTCGTTTCATATGACACCATCATCTAGATGCAACTGAGGTGTTGGATCACCAAGTTCTACCAATTCTTCTTCATCAAAGATTTTTGGCAAGACAAAGTTCCGAACAACCATCAACATTCCTATGGCACTAGGAAAGAATATTGCAGTAGATGGATTTTCCTTAAAGCCCCATAGTCCCATCAAACACAAAAGTTGTATCCCTGTAAACAGTGCTGTACGTTTTCTGCCGAGCATTCGAATCGGATTGTCTTCGAGGAGACGATTCTTTTGCACAAATGTGTCACGAATCCGTTGCAAAAAAGAGTTGCCTTTCATCAGTTTTCGTCCCAAGAATAAGAACACACCGGAGACGACCGGAATAGGTATCAGTCGAACCACAGGAAGTAGTAATAGAGAACCTGCAATCATTGCGTGAACAAGAAACCCGGTCAGTCGGGTTTCAGTCACATCAACAATTTCTATTTCTTCCGTTTCTGGATTGTATACACTGTCAGTCAAAGCTTTGACGTGATTCATGGATTGTACTGTGGCACCACACATCCAAGGTAGACCGAGGACAGACAGCACCCCTGTTATTAGACCCAAGGCGACCATATCTAAGTTGTACGCAGGTCCCTTTTTTAGCTTGTTGTCTGGGTTGTTGACAACACGTACGCTGATATTTTGATCCATGAAAAACAGAGCGCTCAGCAGCATTGCAGGAAGACTGCAGAGAAGCTTCACCCCGTTGGGTATGGAATTGATAGGGACTAAAAACTTCCGTGCACCGGCAAGCTGAAAGTGATCGGGTACTGACAGAGTCGGCACATTAAATTTGGCAACACCAGGAAGGGAATTGATAGCGGACATCGCAATAAAGATGATGACAGGCCCGAAGTTTTTGACGTATCGACGAATTTTTTGGTTTAGGAATTTGCTTGATTCAAATGCTGAAACTTTGTCTGTTGTCCGAAAGGTAGTTAGCGCCATGGCAAGGGCTACAAATGGTGTTGTCAAGTTATTGGGGTCGGCTTTTTGAAAGTTCCTTGTGAGCGATTTGACGGCTTCGTACATGAACGTGGTACTCAATAGTGCATTAAAAATTTCGTCCGTGAAACGAGTACAATAACGAATCAACTGGCTCGATCCACCCAAACCAAGAAGGGTGAAGAAAAAACTGGTCCAAAGACCTACCCATGAGTAAACAGGGAAGAACGGAAGTCCTTTCAACGTACAGAATCGAAACAACCCAGATATGAACGCTAACGTCAATCCCGTTGGAGCAATGAAGGCCATGGGCTGACCACATATTACAGAATAGACCATGCCGCTGGCTCCTGCGCTCAATAAAAACTCAACAACGCCAATGGATCCGTTTGTAATTTCCGATGCAATTGTTCCAAAACTATCGAACAAACCAGGCAGAAAAATAAGAGTTAAGAGTGTGTTAGTTTTCCTGAATATGTTCCATGACGCGTCGTCCTAGTTGGGAAGATTGGAACACACCTTATTGCCGGTGAAACGCAAGCGAAGTACAAAAACAATACCGCAGGAACAACTTTCTTCAAGTTCTTAAAGCCGTCTGTCCAGTCCGATAMGTAGCATTCCTTTCGTCTCTCAATGTCCTTGCTGCAATCAAATATAAGGAAGATACCAGAAAGTTTGTAAGATTTTCCGCCGTGACAAGATATATTAGCACAAACGAATCGACACGGCTCAAAACTCACATCATCACATGAGAAACAGGTTTCGCCAATGGCTTGATCCACCGGTAGTCTTTTCCACTTCGGTCTTCCATTTCTTCGTAGTAATGCTTCGCAATCGCAAATTGGTAGCTGATACTTTGTTTTTCAATGTAATTTACATTTCCGTTTCCGTTTATCTGGATATTATTCGCTTTGTTTTCGACAACGAAGTTGTCGTCGCCCACTTCAGCACCAATACCATCACCGACATCGTCGCTCAGGTTCGAAGATGTGTCGTTGCTCATATTCATGGGAAAATTTGTGCTATGAATAGAGGAAGGATCATATGGTACGAGACTCCGCAAAGTGCGTCTCGAAGTTGATCCATAAATTCGTTTTGTTTTCGATGAAGCCTGTCTTTGAGATCGCCATCGTATTCCAGGCCTTGACAATTGTAGTTTGGGAATACCAGGTTGGAAAGATAAAGATGAAGAAAAGAGGAGTACGATGCAACCTATTCTGCAGACATTTTTCAATTCTACTCCCATTGCCTTGGTAGCTACTCGAGAAGAGGAGAACCAGGTATAGTATTCAGATAAAAGTTGATCGAAAGAACCTTTCGAAATATGTGTATCCGATGTATTCTGTTATGCATCTAAAGAATATGTCCCTTCCCTTCGATGGTTCGGTCAATCGTCTCTTTTCGCCGTCTACGTTGTGGTTCCAGATAAGATCGACTGCTTGGTGTAGTTGTTCCACAATATTTTGCTGGTTGCTCCCAGTCTTCCCAGTGCTACGAAATGAAGATTCAGTGAGTCGTCGTTTCTCGTCTCGTTGTAGTGATCTCTTGGTACATACTTGTACTTGGTAGTAATCGTTGCAGGACCTTCGAATAATACTCAATTGTTGCGAGAACCAGTCAAAAGTTTCCTCCCAGCGTCCACATGATGGATGGAATGAGAGAAAACATCAGTCTCATCACGTCACTGTTCCTCCAATTGTATCGCAAAAAAAAATAAAGTGACGTTTTCGCTGAAGAGGAACGCATTCAAAATATACCGTGGCTACAGTACGTTCCGTACCGTACAAGACGGCGCACGGAGCACCTAACAGCATTTKGGGAACCCGTATATACCCGTTGTCTTCGAAKTTGCACTCGTGCGCGCCATTGATAAAACGTGACTCACTCGTGCAATGCGCGTCTTGGCCAGTCATGTCAGTGTTCATCGTCTTTTCGTGTTGATGCAAATCTTTCGCACTGCAGCGCAAGTTCAAGTTTTGAGGTGACTTCGAGTTCATACCATATTGTACAATAGTGCCCGGTCTTGTTGACAACGAGTATCATGAGGCGAGAAAAACAGTAGCCGGAGTGGTGCTGCTGAGAGGAGCTGTAAGAAATAATGCGACAGCTACGAAGACTTCCAATATCTGTTTCCRCGAGCGAAATCGAAAACAACGCCATGTGCTTTTGTTGCAACTGTTTCCATTCATAGACACGGAACTAATATGCTTTGACAGATAAAAGATAAGAGATAGAATTTTTTTGGGYAGTAATGTTTTGTTTGTTGCCGCAGGCCCGTTCAGATCGTTCGGCTTGGGGTGGTTGCACTGATTGRTTATTGATTTGAATAAAGAACGTCGGTACTGCACCGGYATTTTTATTGGCGAGCAAGCAAGTCTGCTCGGGTTGCGTTCGGTGCATCTATGCATAGCATCCTCCGTTTTCGATCAAGAGTTTTGTGTAGGCCTTTCGCTTTGARGATTGCTCCCATTCCTGGCGGCTGACGGTATACTTCGTGTAGGGTTCTTTCTCGAAGTACGCTTTCGCTCCCATCCATGCTCGATCGATGGGCGAATCGGCCACGGAGACGCTCAGCTCGTATTCGCTRGGAACGAGGCTTCTCAGCTCGCGCTCGAGCCGGTCCCGCAGATTGGGCAGGCGGGCTACCCCTCCCACCAGGTACACCGTCCGGTACAGAGCCGGGCGGTAGGCTTCCGGGCAGGCTTCGACGCTCTGCACGATRGCCTGCGACAGCCCCACCAGGTCGGGCTGCAATCCGGCATCCATGGGTCGGAAAAGAACCTCCGGAACGACAAACCGTTCGACGGATACCCTCAGCACCTGCTCTTCTTCTTCCCGCTCTCTCTTGCGGCGTTCTTCTTCGGCTCTTTCCCGCAGCAAGCGCTTGCGCTTTTCTTCCATGCTTTCCTCCTCCTCCTCCTCCTCGTCACCGCCGTCGTTGTCTTCGGCACCGCTGCCTTTTTTCTTGGTTTGCTTTTTCCTGGCGCTCTTGCCCTTTTCGGGACCCTCCCGAAAGTCTTCCTCGTCGTCGTCGTTCTCGTCATCCTCGTCGCTACCGGCTTCGAAGTCGTCGTCTTCTTCGTCCTCGTCTTCGTCTTCTTCTTGCTGCTCTCCTCCGCCCTTTGCTTTTTGTTGTTTCTCTCKTTCCAAAATCTTTTGCAGCGCAAACGGAATCCGTATTTCTCCTTTCGTCGTATTYGTGTAATCCGGCAACAAAAAGTCGCGATCGTAGATGCGTTGCCCCGGGGGCTTCCTCCGCGCCAGCTTCAGATCGGCSCCCATGTCCATCGAAAAAAAGGACAACCGTTCGAAGACGTCCCGCATCAAAACCTCCTGGTCCATGAGRTTGTATTGCCGGTAGCTCATGTAATACTTGAGCATGTTGATCATGTGCCTTCCCCCGACCGGGATTCTCCGGATCGTGGTTGTGGAACCCGCGTTCGCGTTCGCGTTCACCGGTGGTGTTGCTCCTCCTCCGGCAGCAGCCCCTTGCACGAGCCGGCTTCGAAAGGTCGGAACGACCAGGGTCGAGGACCAGCCCAGGTCGACCGTGCAGCTCGTCTTCCACGGCGTTCGGAGGCTCTGATCGTGCGAGGCACACGCACTCGAAATCCCGAACCCGACGTGGGAGACACCAAAGTCCTCCATCCACACCGTTGCGATCTGGTCCAGCAGGATGCGGGGGCAGTGCGGGGGCAGCAGRAGCAAAACGCCCAGGGCGTGGGGAGGGAYCGTGGGMGGCCGAACGGCGGCCCCGGCCCCCGCAAGCTTCCCCGCCTTTTTCTTTTTCGCGGCGGCGGTGGCGTTCCACCCCATGCACCTCGCCGTGACCGTGTGGAGGGGGACCGCCACCCCCAGGAGGTCCAGCATGCGCTTCCAGACGCGGGTCTGGTTTTCCAGGTTGCAGATCACCCCGCGCTCCGTCGACCGGGTCCGGGGCATCAGCGAGTTRGGGTTTTGCACCTGGTGGAGCTCGTCGCCCACCAGCGTGGTAAACTGGTGCATCAGCCTGGCCGAGGCGTTCGGGAGCGAGTGGGGGAAGGGGGTGCTGGTTCCATCCTCGGTGGGATCGTGTGCGTGGTCCATCCAGCCGTACTTGAGGCTGTCCCCTCCGTTGTCGACCAGGAGCATCCGGGACGGASGGGGGGTYGCCGGGAGGGAAGAGGCAGCGCCGGAAGCCCCGGCCGGATCTGTTTTGGCGGACGYGCCCTGTTTCGTCTTTCTCGCTTTTGTCGCCGCCGCCTTTTTGGAAGCCGCCGCGGTGGGCTTGGGAGACGACCGCCGTCGCTTCTTKCCGGCGGCCGGTGCCGCCGCGGCCGCAGAAGCCTTTCTCGCCGGCTTTTCGGTAGCCATGGGRAAGGCTCTGTTGTTCTGTTCGTGTCCAATGGAAAAGGACGGTGCCGTAACAGTGGTTGTTGCCGTGCGGGGAATGGAACTGCTCGCTGCCTCGCTTTCGGTTTTGGCTTGGCCTCTGGCTTCGATCGGTCGAGGGCGTGGTGAGGGGGGCGCTCCTTGGTCTCTTGGATGGCACTCGACCACCGACTAGACACTAGACCCGATGTTGTGATTGGGAGGGCAGATCAGGAGGAGATGCCAGAGCTCGGCACCGTACGGTACCTATCCACCGTAGGACAACTACAGCAAAGAACGTGAGATGGATGGTCGATCCCGAGAGAGCATTAGTACGTAGTACCGTACTGTATTGGCATCACGGTAAAAATAAAGCATATCTTCCCGTTCTGTATATATTGCGCGCGCAATGTGACAAAGATTTTCTGTAAAATTAATTT